GCTTATCTTTTCAGTACAAACATTTGTGTTATTTGCACTTCCACACCATCAAATTTTGGTAAAGAATGTAAACTATAAACATATAGAAGATGAGGAGAAACAATTTTGTTATTGAAATCCAATTTCTTTACTTCTAGAAAGGTGAGGAGCAAAACTAAAGCTTAGGAGTATAAATTATGAAATTGACGTTGATTAATTCATAAACTTTGAGGTATCAAATTATCAAAAGGAAATTTAGGATTTCAAAATTAAAAAGAGTGAAACTTTGAGGTATTAAAGTGTAAATAACTCTATCAAATATTTAAAATCAAATCAAATCTATGATTTTCTTTTGATAATTTTCCATACAAAGTCTGTGAGAAAATAAATCACAATTCTTAGATTGATTTGTTCTTTAGGCCCCTCGTGAGGGTAGGAGCACTGTTAAGTCTAATAGAAAAGTGAAGATATTTAAGATATAAATGAAAAAGATTACTTGCAAATTACTCTTAGAAAATCGTGCATCAACATGTATAAACATAGAAAATTTCCCCAATGTCCCAAAATATGGGACCAAGAGGGGCGACAGGTGAGGTGTCCCACTCCTATTGCATAATGAGCTGATCATCATTAATGATGTCCAGTTCATTATGCAATAGGAGGGGGGCACCTCACATGATTAGGAAAGTCCTCCGGTCAAATCTGAGATCAAATCGGATTTGTTTCCTAAACAAAACAGACTCCTAAAATATTACTAAAAATAGTAAAAAACGGACAAAACTGTAAATATCTCTCAAACCGTAAGGAATTTAGTAAAACTGAGAACGCAAACCGAACCCAAAAGGGTCGGTTTTGATGGCTCCATCTCGTCGAGATAGTCGATTTTCATATATAATTCGTCCAATTCCGACGTACAGTTTGAAAGTTACGGCCGTTTCTTCGAAACAAGTTATTTTCTTCGACCAGGCCCGCATTTAGGCTTGCGACTGTCCCACTTTGACATAAACGTGTCTGCTAAGTGTTCTACATCAGTCCCCCCTGCTTGAAAAGAGCTCGACCCCGAGGTTACACTCGCATGAATAGCTGTTTCTTCTGGTGGGTAATACTCAAACAAATCTGCAACATTGAAACTAGGATAAATACCCAAATCTGTAGGAAGGTCAACCACATAAGCGTTGTCGCTAATCTTCTTCAGTATTTTGCATGGACCATACTTCTTATTCTTCAGGTTGTTGTAGGTGCCCACGGGAAAACGTTCTTTTCGCAGAAACACCATCACCATGTCTCCTTCTTCAAACACATTCTTCCTCCTGTGTTGATCAGCATCGGCTTTATATTTAGGATTAGACTGCTCTATCTTTTCCTTCACCTCCTGCTAGATAGCACGTATCTCTTCAACCATATGATCCGCAGGAACACTCTGTCCAGGAAGTTTAGGCAGCGGGGCCAGATTAAGATAGTGATTCGGAAGCCTTCCATACACAATTGCAAAGGGTGTCTTGCCTGTAGTCCGACTCTCCATACAGTTGTAGGCAAATTCAGCATGTGCCAAAACAAGATCCTACTATTTTGGTCGATCGCCATAAATATATCTAAGAAGATTGCCGAGGGTGCGATTGACCACTTCAGTTTGGCCATCTGTTTGAGGGTGATAGGCAATACTGAACTTGAGAGAAGTATTGAATCTCTGCCACAAAGTCTTCCAAAAGTGTGATAAGAACTTGGAATCTCTATCGGATGTGATGGATTTTGGCACTCTATGAAGACGAACTATCTCCCGAAAGAAAAGATTGGCAATGTTGCTCACATCCGCAATCTTCTTGCATGGAATAAAGTGCGCCATCTTCAAAAATCTGTCAACCACAACAAAAACAGAATCCATGCCTCGTTGGGTTCGAGGCAGTCCCAACACAAAGTCCATAGAGATATCATGACATGGTGCATCAGGAACAGGTAAAGGTGTATACAATCTCGTATTCTGAGACTGTCCCTTAGCAACTTGACAAACTGGACAACGCCGCACATATCTTTCTGCTCCCTTCTTCAACTGAGGCCAATAATATTGTTCTTCAATTGCTGCAATTGTTTTATCACGTCCCAAATGTCCTCCTAGTCCGCCAGCATGAAGGTCTCGAATTATCTGCTCTCTTAGCGAACTCTGAGGTATGCACAATTAATCGCCATGAAATAGATAACCATCTTGAATATGAAAGTCTTTGACTGATTTATTTTGAAGACAGTCGTCCCAAATCTTCTTAAAATCTTCATCCTCTGCATACAGCTCCTTAAGGTACTCAAACCCAATCACTTCAGCCTTCAAAGTTACCATCTGCAACCTTATTCTGCTGCCCGGATTTATGCGCTTCAAAACAAAGGTGACGCTACAAATATGCAATCCAACGAGCATGCATACGGTTGATGGTAGTCTGACTATTAAGGGTCTTCAAAGCCTGATGATCAGTGTGGAGCAGAAACTCTCTCGAGATCAAATAGTGCTCCCAATGCTTCAAAGACTAAACTATGGCATATAACTCCAGCTCATATGTGGTCCACTTCTGCCGAGCTTCGCTGAGTTTCTCACTGTAAAAGGCAACTAGACGCCCTTCCTGCGATAAAACACCACCAATTCCTATGATGGACGCATCACAATCAACTTCAAAGACTTTTTGAAAATCTGGAAGTGCAAGCACAGGTGCGGTGGACAACTTCTCCTTGATCAGTGCAAAGCTGCGATCTGCATCTTCCCCCCAATTGAACTTTCCTTTCTTCATGTATTCAGTTATAGGTGCTACAATGCTGCTGAAATTTCTTACAAATCTCCTATAGAATGTTGCTAGGCCATGAAAACTACGAACTTCGCTGACAGTCTTCGGAGTAGGTCCACTACAACAAAACTGTTTCTTTATAGCGTTGAATGATAGCGTTTACGTTGTAAGTGCTATAGATTGTATGTGCCTTATTTTTTGATAGCGTTTGAAAAATTTTAAACGCTATAAGTAATTGATCACATTTTTTTCCCTTCTGGCACGTTGAAATCTTAAGCGGGATGCTGAAAATTAAATTTTTTGGGTAGTTATTTTGTGAGATTAGTTGTGATGAATATGTGATTTATTTGTGATGCAGAGCACTGGGAGCTCAGGGAGCAATTTGATAACTGGGTAAGTTTTTAATTTTGAAATTTCTTTTGAAATTCCTGTTGAGTTTAATTTGATAACTGGGTAAGAGTTTAATTTTGTTTTTCTGTTAGGTATTTGAATGATAATTGCATATTAGTTTGTTTAGGGTTTTCAATTTTAGGCTGGGTTTATGATTTGAGTTTATTATATGTTTCATTCGAATGGTATAACTTGGTATGATAATGAGAATGGGTTCTTCAAATATCAAATCACTTCCCTCTCGTTAAAACAAAAGCTTTCAATTTCAGTAGCGGTGATAAAATGTTTCATTTATGCACACACCTATGCAACTATTATATATCTTGTTTGAACAATCTTCGACTTCATGTTGTTATCTTGATTTTCACTTCCTAGGCTAGTTTTCAAATACATAGCATATGTAGTAAGGACCAATATATATATATTGACTATCATATGACATAGACCATCTCCTGGATCTCCTTAGAATACATTCACCGTGTATACAACAATGAAAGGGCTACCATTACTAGAATTACTACTTTTAGTTTTAATTTCGCTATAAAGTCTTCATGCTTTTCTGTCTGTTTTTTTTAATGTAAGTTAACACGAGTTTTATACAATATATGAATGGAAAACTTCAACCCTACTATCCTGGCTATTAGGAAATGAAATGAGGAGACAAATACAAGTTTCGAACAAAAATAACCATGTGCAGGTTTTCTCTTTGGCGTTTTTTTTAAATTGAGTTTTTGTGGGATATCATTAGTTAAGATACCATTAAATATCTAGTATTCTGTTTGAATGATTTTCTTAGTATTATCAATGTAAATCAAAATTTGTAGTGGCCCGTGATAAAGCTGGTATGATAGTCGGATATTGGTCTTGGCTATAGGTAGTACCACAGGTTTTGTTATGTTGTTCCCAAATACTATGCAGTTAGCTCTTACAAGAGTCATGTTTGATGCAAACAACAATAATTGGGGCCTGGACCTTTTGGATTAGAAAACGTGTATGACATTTTTAAATTCATCGGCATAATCATATAAGTAATTTGATTGTTTTTCTTTCTCATACTTGTGTGGTATATGAAATAATTCATCGGCATAATCATATAAGTAATTTGATTGTTTTTCTTTCTCATACTTGTGTGGTATATGAAATGAGAATATCTGTAAATCTCCTTCACAAGCTTATTATCTCCTAGGCTAGTTGTTTGTAGTTTTTAAATAGTGAGAACAAGTAGCAGATCGGTTCAATATCATTGTCAATGGCACAACAACACATAGTTTATAAAATTCTTTAATTTGATGAAACCATTTAATAATTTAATCTTAAGTAAGAAACCTAAGTTGAGTCTATTGTGTCAATTGTGCTTCTTTATTTGAATTGGGTTTTGCATTGTCATTGTGCTTGTTATTATGTTTGTTGGCAACTTGTTTTTTTTCTTAGTTATTGTGTATTTTACTCATTGATGAATTATATAATTGCTGGTTTATATTAATCAATTAGAATTAGTTTATTTTTGTTTTCATATGTTAGACATTGCTTGCATAAATCTCATTGAAAAGATGAAGGAAAAAGAGTGGGTGTGGCTCCACGGGTAAGAATCATACCTTAATCTGTTGGTTCACCAATACTTGTAAAATTATAGTAATTTAACTAGATTTGGAATGTATTTTGTTCTTGCTCCTTTTCTTTGAAAATCATAGATCCACCCTCGAGTACCAGCAAAAAGCATTACAATTTGTAAAGATAGCTAAAAAGAATTTGGGATTTCCTACAAGGATGTTCTGCCCTTGCACGGAATGTTGTAATATGAGCCATCAAGATGGAAGTACAATTTTTGAACACTTGGTTACAAAGGGGATGGATCTTTCGTAGCGAATGAAATCACATTGGAATAAGCATGGAGAGAAACAAGAAAGTAGTGAGAAGCTTGATTATGAAGCCACTAAGGACGAGACATATAATGTATTCCAAGCTGCCTACTTTATGGGTGAAGAACTTGTCCAGCCTATACCTATTAATGAACCTACTGAACATGGACATGGTGACGAGTTCATGAGGAGACTAGAAGAAGCACAAACTCCTTTGTATCCAGGCTATGAAAGTTACACAAAGTTGTCAGCCATTGTAGATTTGTATGGACTCAAAGGCAAGAGTGGATTATCAAGTAAACATTTCAATGAGTTGTTAGGTATCATTAAACGTATGTTGCCAAAGGACAATGTTTTGCTAGATTCAGCCGCCTCGATTAAAAGCTTCCTCAAGATATTTGACATGGGGTATGAAAAGATTCACGCTTGTGTGAATGATTGCTGTCTCTTTAGAAAGAAGTATGAGGAACTGGACAACTGTCCAACATGTGGTGCTTCAAGATGGAAGATAAATAAGCGTAGTAAAGAAATCAGAAAAGGCATTCCAGTTAAGGTTTTGAGATATTTTCCTATTATTCCTAGATTTAAAAGGATGTTCAGGTCTTCACAAATGGCTAAAGATTTGAGATGGCATTTTGATAACAAAAGCACAGACGGGAAAATGCGTCACCCTGTTGATTCTTTAGCTTGGGACCTGGTTAATGATAAATGGCCCTCATTTGCAGCTGATCCATGTAATCTCAGACTTGGACTTGCTACTGATGGTTTCAACCCGTTCTCCATCTTAAGCTCTAAATATAGTTGTTGGCCGGTAATGCTTGTGAATTATAATTTGCCTCCTATGTTGTGCATGAAGAAAGATAATATTATGCTAACATTGTTGATTCCTGGTCCAAAGCAACCGGGAAACGACATAAATATCTATTTGTAACCACTTATAGATGATTTGCAATTGTTGTGGGAGAATGGGGTTGAGGCTTATGATGCATTTAGCAAATCAACTTTCAATTTGAAGACAATGTTGATGTGGACTATAAATGACTTTCCAGCATATGGAAATCTTGCTGGCTGTTCTACAAAAGGAAGAAAAGCATGCCCTATATGTGGGAAAAATACACATCATAGATGGTTACGCTTCAGCAAGAAGTTTTCATACATGGGTCATAGGAAATTTCTGAAACCCTCACATCCATACCGAAGAAAGAAATCGTGGTTTGATAATAGTGTAGAGCATGGCAGCAAGCCCAGAGCCTTAACAGGTCACAATATTTCTGCTGTTCTAAATGATTTTCCAAATGATTTTGGAAAAGGTGGAGACAAAAAAAGGAAAAGGAATAATAATGAGAATGATGGTGATGATGATGAGGATGAGGATGACACAAGTGACATTGATAATCAGAATGAGCTTACTAGGTGGAAGAAAAGATCAATCTTTTTTTCTTTACCGTACTAGAAGGTTGGTGTTCTGTTTTTATTTTATTTTATTTTTTTATATATTTTGTTTTAGCTTTATAATTGCTTAATGTATTTCTCTATTTTTTATTTATAGGAACTTCTATTACGTCATAATTTAGATGTGATGCACATAGAGAAAAACATTTGTGAGAGCATAATAAGCACTATGCTGCATAGTGGGAAATCAAAAGATGGGATAAATGCTCGTAAGGACTTGGAAGATATTGTAAGCACTATGCTGCATAGTGGGAAATCAAAAGATGGGATAAATGCTCGTAAGGACTTGGAAGATATTGAAATTAGGAAAGACTTGCATCCAGAACAGCGGGGTAGCAGATTGTACCTTCCACCAGCACCACATACATTTTCAAGGTCTGAAAAGAAAAGATTTTGCAAGAGGTTATATGACTTCAAAGGGCCTGATGGTTATTGCTCAAATATCGGGAACTGCATAACATTGGAGGATTGTAAGATTATGGGGCTTAAATCTCATGATTATCATGTCCTAATGCAGCAATTGTTGGTTGTTGCTATAAGAGGATTGTTGCCGAAAGAGCCTAGAAAAGCGATACTCCGATTATCTAGATTTTTCAATAGATTATGCCAGCGTGCTATTGATAGAGAAAAGTTGCTGGACCTTGAGAATGAGATCATTGAAACTTTGTGTCAACTGGAACGCTTTTTTCCGCCATCATTTTTTGATATCATGGTACATTTACCGGTTCATCTAGCAAGAGAGGCACGCTTGTGTGGTCCAGTTCATTTTCATTGGATGTATCCTTTTGAGAGGTTAGATTTTTTTTATTCTTTTTCATGCTGAAATCCATTATGAAATTTTAATTTGATCATGGACAAGATTAAATTCTTTTATTCAGGTACATGAAGACACTAAAAAAATGTGTCCGAAATCCTACAAGACCTGAGGGGTGTATTGCAGAGTCATACCTAGCTGAAGAGTGCATCGCCTTTTGTAGCGAGTTTCTAAAACAGTCAATACATGTGAAGGAAAAGGAAGTTCGCAATGAAGAATTTGAAAATGATGTCATTTTGGAAGGTCGTCCTATATCTAAGACTACTTCAATCACACTTACCGATAAAGAGAAAGATATTGCACATCGTTCAGTATTACTGAACACAGCTATAATGGATCCATTTTTAGAGTAAGTACATTGCTATTTATGTACTTATTTAGTTTGCTTTTATATTTATTAGTTTTATTTTATAATTCATATGGTCTTGTGTTCTTGTGTTCTATTAGTATGCATTTAGAGGAGTTGCAAGCAAAAGACAAACGACTTGAAAAAAATCAGACCTTACTTTGGAAGCGGCATACTGAGAAAATTGCATAATGGACAAAAAATAATGTTATTTAAAATTAATCATCTCAAATCTGTTCTTGTATTTATTACTTAGCTGAGGTACACCATTTAACGGGTTATTTAAAATTAATCATCTCAAATCTGTTCTTGTATTTATTACTTAGCTGAGGTACACCATTTAACGCTTATATTAATATTTTGTTCTTGTATTTATTACTTAGCTGAGGTACACCATTTAACGCTTATATTAATATTTTGTAGATTCCTATTTACTCGAATGATCATTCAAAGACATTAAGATGGTTGGCATATGGTCCTAAAAAGAGTGCACTATCATATAAGGGATACATTATCAATGGGCTACGGTTTCACACAAAGGATGTTGACAGGGAAACACAAAATAGTGGGGTGACTTATGATGCAATAACCATGTGTAGAGCAAGTGCAAAAGATACTGCACAAGTGGCTGATCTGGTCTCATATTATGGGATATTGTTAGATATCATTTTACTAGACTACCATCTATTTTATGTTCCATTGTTTAAGTGTCATTGGGCTAATAAAGGAAATGGTGTTAAGGAAGAAGATGGATTCACACTTGTAAACTTACAGCAGAGTCAAGTATCATTTGCAAGAGATCCATATATCCTAACATCTCAAGCAAAACAGGTTTTTTATTCAAGAGAAGATGATTCGTCTAATTGGTATATAGTAATGAAGGCACCACCAAGAGGTTACCATGAGTTGGAGATAGACGATAAGAATGCAGATGCATCTTTTTTGCCACAGGAAATTAAAATGGATATTGATGATTATGAGACAGGGAGTTATGTCAGGGTGGACTATGAGGGACTACTTGTGTGATTGGAACTAGTTGGTAAGGAGGTTGATTGTTGATCATACTTTAAAGTGTTTGATTTATCTTGTCTTATTGGCTGCTACTTTATAATGATTTTGGTGTTGTTCATGCTTTAAATGTGTGTCACTGTGTTTATTTGTGATTTTGATATATGTATAATTTGTTTCACATATGAAACCAGGTTTAACTATATAGATACTTACCTTTATTTTTTCTAATACAGATAAACGAGGATGGTTGGCGAGACTACAAAGACAGGTCAGTGTAAAAGGAAGAACAGTATTATGGTATAGTTATCACATGATCATATGCCTATATTATCCTATTCTGCTTTTTGTTATTTTAGTTTTCTATATTTGTTCTATTTTTTCTATATTATCCTTAGGAATTACAAAGTGAGTATTACAAAGCCCATTTTAAACAATGAAATAGGGGATATTGGAGATTGGTAACGTGGTATTATGGAAGTAATCTTGTATAACTCGTACGTTCTATACGTTACATGCATGGTTAATTCCCAGCAAGTTCTTTTTCTTTCTCTACTTGAATAATAATGTAACAAACATTTCACAGAAAAACATGAAAAACAAAAGAAAGTAGAAAATTTAGAGCCTTAATATCTCCGTTTTAGACTTTTTTGGGGTGGGGTCAATGAATATGAATTCCATTACATTATATTAATATTAACTGACCCCCCCCCAAAGTAAGAACTTCCGACACATGTTGTCAACCTTTTTCAACACCTTTTTTTGGTAAATTATAGCTTAAAAACCAAAACAACAGAACCCCAAATGCTAAACTCCTTAGAAGTTGAAGTCTACTTGCCTGCACAGGAGATGTTCTTATTTGAGAGGTTTTGAAAAATTGCATTCAATTTAGAAAACAATGGAGCACATTCAAGATATAACAATCTCTTACACAGTACTAAGGGAGCTCCCAGGTATCTAACTAGAAATGAGCCTTCTAAACTCTGGAAAGCCCAACCCATCCAGCATAGCTGCTATGAATCCCCAATCAATGCCGTCATAAGCTTTCCTTGTACCAACGTTCAGATGTACTCTAAGTGAGGCCAAAACCTTTGCTGATGAATCCCCAATCAATATCGCAGCATATCGCACTATAAGTGAGGCCAAAACCTTTGCTGATAAGTATATTTCTATATAGCTGTATATTTGTATTTATTTATGAAATTAGGTTAGAGGTGAACCTTTGCTGATAAGTTATTATTGTTTGACCCTATGGCACAGTTATAGAAATTGTGGCCATGATAATATATCAATACGTTTTTTTTTGTCAAGTTTAAATTTTATGGTATTCATCATCTCAATCAATTAGATGTTGGAATAGGTCTAGTGCCCTGATCCTCACTATTGATGGTATTGATTAGATTCGTTTGTGGCGTACTCATCTTGATTGACTTGTTTATTTATTTGCAGAAAAATGCAAAGGTCGTAACCATTGATGGATATGAGGATGTTCCTGAGAATGATGAGAATGCCCTGAAGAAGGCTGTTGCCAACCAGCCTGTTAGTGTTGCAATTGAAGCTGGCGGAAGGGGATTGCAGCTTTACCAATCGGTGAGATTATTGTTTGACATGATTTCATCTAATTTTTAATATTGCTTTGGGTAAACATTTATGTTAGCTTCTGATTACTAATTTACAAATTGATACCTAGAACTATTTTTCGCATCCATCAGTCTAGTATAATAAATAAATTTCTAGATTGGTCACATTTCAGTTGTTTTGAGATGTATTCTAGTAATTTTGACACAAATCATTTAGGATGGTGTAATTCCAGTAACAAACATGGGCTATAGTTACCTTTGGTTGACTATCTAGCAGGAAAAGACTCCTCAACAATGGTGGAATTGACACTTAAGAGGACTACCCATACATAGCCCAGGATGGCAGATGCGACACCTATAGGGTATATAGACTTATTAGATATCATAAGTCCTACAGTTTTCAGGGGATTTAATTAAGTCGTTTGAGGCCAGAATTCATAAAAGCTTAATTAATGATAGTTTAATTGGAGTACTTACTTCTTCTAGGTGGATAATTATACGAGGGACGTGAATGCCATGGAAGGCCTTACGCAAGTCAATCAAGAAGCTCCCCAAGATGGACCAGTTCCAAATATTCATATTCTTGTAGAAGATATGGTCCAAGAAGATGATACAGCTGAAGATGCACCAACACAAGATACAATTAAAGCTGCAAGAGGCATAAAAAAGAAAAGGGGTCCAACAAAAAAGAAAAAAACTTGCTAGGGACCCTGCGAACCGAATCCAGATTCAATTTACTGATTCTGGTGAACCATATGGACCCGGATCAGTACACTTGTCATCGTTTTTGGGCCCTCTTGTACGAGAGCATGTACCTGTAACACTTGATGATTGGAGGAACCTTGGTGATGATCTGAAAGCTGTATTATGGGAAGAAGTTCAGGTAATAATCTACTATCATTTTACATAAGCTATCTAACATATGTAAATCTCCTTCAATATAGTCCTTCAGCTAATAATACTTTTATGCATATAAAATACAGGCAAGATTCATATTAGAAGAAGAATGGCAAAAGAATGTCATATTTCAATTGATGGGATGTCTTTGGCGGGCCTCAAAATCAAGACTAGTTGCTCAAATACGAGCAACAAAGAAGAAGGAACAAAGACTTCAGCTCAAACTAGACAACATACCATCTTTAGCAATTTGGAAGAAATTTATCAAGACAAAAACAAGCCCAGAGTTTAAGGTATGTTTTCTGAGATAATTAATCACTAGCTTATATTAAGAGATGTTATTATGATAAAGGACC